ATGTAAACATGTCAAGCAAGTCACAGTTTCAGTTTTCAAATTTAAGCGAAGCCTTTGGAGTTGCACTGATAATTCATTCAGGAATATCACTCACAGCTTAGCAAGCTAAGCTGACAGCTTTGAGAATATATATTTAGATTTATACCCACTCTTATACACTTTAAAAACCACACAAAAATGTGGTTTGCGTGTTGCTATGTAGCCTAAATTGTGTAGGGGACTTATAGAGATACATACAGCACAGTTCATTTCGAGTAAACCAAGGGCTTTAACCTACCTGACTGGTCAGTGGTGACTGTATGCTTAACTTCCCATTCTTGGGAATTTCTATCCKGTAGCCCAAAGGAAGGAAAGCATTGAATCCCACAATGAGGTCAGGATGCTCGTGGAAGAGCTGTGAAACGCGCCGGATAACTCCAGGGGTGTCGATGCTAGAAACAAGAGGACTCCGTTRCTCGCATCCGAACCAAAAATACCAGCGGGACCCAGAAAACTACAGAGGTATTTGGAACATCGGCTTCCTTCCCAAGAAAGTTTGGGATCCCCAGCTCTAGGGATCAGCCCGAGCAGAGGGTGCCCAGGGGGCCGGGACGCGGGGTGACTGCGGCCAGGCCGGGCGTCCCGGGCCAGGGACTGCTCCACACTCCGGCCTCTTGCCCACATGCGGCTTTGGAGCAGGCAGCAGCCACAGATCTGCCTTTCCCCATGGATTTGGGCCCTGGGACATGACGGGGCGGGGGCTGTTGGGCCCGATGGAGACCCTCCATGGCGTGAGCGTAGCGGGGCCAGCAGGGCGGCCGGGGAGGGACCGCGCAGGGCCGGGGGGAACCCGGCCTGGCCTTTACCTCTGGCTCTTGAACTCCTTCATGATCTCCAGGAAGCCGTTGTAGGTGGCGGGGTCGCTGCCGAAGCGGATCTTCACCTGGTCCAGGTAGGAGAGCGCGTCCTCCACCTGCGGGGCACGGCGACACGGCTGAGGCGCCGCGGCCGCCGCGCGGCTCCCGGGCGCCCCGCGGACACGGGGCTGCGGGGACCCCGCGGGACGAGGCCCC